CGAGCCGCAGCCGCCAAAGCCCATCCCCACCCAAGCCCCGCCCCCAAGTCTAAACTCCGCCCCCTCCGAGCTGCTCGGCAGCTGCCTCAGCTGGCGTGTTGGCCCCGCCCCGAGCCGAAGCCCCGCCTCCTCCAAGCGCTGCCTCAGCGGGCATGTGGGGCTCCCCAACAGAAGCCGCTTGGCGGTAGGGGGCGCGGCGCCCCCTGGCGGGAACCGTGCAGTCGGGTGAAACGGGGTCTGTAAACTGGAGCGAGTGGACTACTTGTCTGTCCCAGGATGCAGAGCGGCGCGCGGCGCCTGCCGTGAGGCAGGAGCTTGCAGGGACTACGCGTCCCAGCGGGCAGTGCGGCTGCCGGGAGCCGCCGGCAGATGCATGCCGGGAGTTGTAGTCCTTCCGGGCGGGCCGGGCTGACTGCAGCCTGGCGCGTCCGCAGAAGCGGGCGGTGCAGATCCCAGAGCACGACCAGGTGCTGGGGCACGTCCGCACCGCCCGGGACAAGCTCCTAGCGTTGTTTCCGCTGCTTATGGGCCTTATGTATAGCTCAGCTCCCCCGGTTTGCTTATGGCCAGGAGTAAGGTGCAGCACACATGCACAGTGAGAATCTCTGCCTAGGGCCCCCTCTCCCCTGCAGAAAGACCTGCAACTTCTGTGGCTCAAGAATTAGACTCTTAAGTCACCTCAAGGCCCATCAAGGAGCCTTGGTGGAGAATAGCCTCCAGTCGAGCGAGTGCGAACATGAATAGTAGTTCTTACATGTGCATCTATGAAACACTGGTAGAGCTGCTTTTCAAATGCTAGAGGCAAGGATTTCTTAAGATTTCATTTACAGGACCAACTATGTAGTGGGGGTAAAGCCCAGAAGAGACATCACATTAGTTGGACCCAGCTTGCCCAACATCTGTATAGATTGGGAGCTTGAGTGAGACTTCTTAGCATTTTTATCTAATAGCTGATTGAAAAAAGCCTCTCCAAAGCGCCCAATTTATACAGACGCTGCAGACCCCGGTCAGACTAACACAATGCCTCTTCTGGTAAAGCACAGGGTTCCTCCCCCCACCAGTCTTGCAATGTCCAAAATTAGCCAAAGGAAATAAAAGCTGGATCAAGGCCCGCCAAAAGGGAGAATGGAAGGGTCAGCCTCACATTCTTTGTGTGGAAAGTATTCAGGAGTTGCATAAATTATAATAGGCCATAAATCTGATATTGGTGTTTAGTCCTTTGCTCTTAAGTTCCAGGCAGCTTATGAATTTTTATTCTTGTTTGCTTTTTAAAGGTGTTCAGTGGATTTCCTTTGAGCATGAGGATCGTGAGGTCAGAGACAGAGCAGCTGTTCTGTGAGCAGTGTACTCCTAATGGTAAACATAGGTCTCTGTGCTTTATATTTTTTCTGTGAGCATTCATTCTGTTGCATACTTGCTGTTTAATTTCACTGATGTCATTGCAATAAGGGCATTTGATCAGGTATCACATTTTGGATATTGCTATTAATTCCATCTCTCATAATGTCAACACCTGCCAGAGGAAAGGATGTTGGGTAAGGAGTGTGGGGGTAATCTTGCATTGGACCACTTGTCCAATTTGAGTCCAACTGTGTAGCTGGTCCATGAAAAGATACCACTACCAAAACAGCCTTGCCCCTCACGTCATTCTTGGGCCACTGTGGCTTCACTCCAACACTACCTTCACACCTGCAGTCACCTCAATTGGGCAAGTGCAGTCTTCCGATGTCTGAGTAAACAGGTGTTTGAAGATCGCAATATTGGATCCAAAAGCAAGCTCATGGTTTATTAAGTTGCAATGCCCACTTTACTGTATGGAACCAAGATGTGAACTATGTACAGGAGACACCTCAAGTCGCTGGAACAGTATCATCACTGCTGCCTGCAGAAGATACTACAAATCCAGTGGGAAGACAGACACACCAGCATTAGTGTCCTCTCACAATCAAACACCATGAGCACGGAGGTGATGCTCAACAGACATTAACTTTGCTGGGCCAGCCACATCATCCAAATGTCTGACTCCAGAAACTCAAAGCGTACACTCGAGAGGAGGGCAGAAGAAGCACTTCAAGGATATCCTCAAGGCCAACTTGAAAAAAAATGCAATGTTGACATCAAGTAATGGGAGGCTATCAGCCAGGATGCCCCAGATGGACAAAGCATCTGCTGCAAGGATCTCAGTACTTTAAAACCTTAAGATAACAAGAGATGGAAAACGGGAGTGGCAGAAACAGCAGCTCACCGACAAAAGCAACAACCCAGAGCCACCCATCCCACGAGAAAACATGCCCCAGCAGCAACAGAGTCTGTCAGCCCGAGACAGGCCGCCTCAGCCATCTTCAGACGCACAAGTAAGACAATCCTTCTCTACTGAGGGACTGACAATGATGCCACCACAAGAAGAGCAAGTAATCCTAGAAGGGCGAGTTAATTATTTTAGGGTCAATGGATTAATTACATTGAGCAGCTCTTGGGGGTGCACAGAGCCCCTTCTGTGTCAGCAAGGGGTGGGAGGCACCTTTCCCCAGGCACAAGGGCTCTGCTGAAGCCCCGGTCCGGTCCCGTCCGGTCCGCAGCCCCACAGGGCAGCCGCGCCTACAGTCTCAGGAAGTGCGGTGTGGCCCGGGGTCCAGCTGTTCTGAACTTGGCCCTAACCCGCCGCTCACTTCACGCGCTTGTAATAAAACTCCTGCGGAAAGCACCTAATCCCCAGCGGGTATTTAAGGCCCGACCCCGCCCACTTCCGTCCTCCAGGCCACGCACGCACTCCCGCACCCTTTCAACACAGGCAGCAGCGAAGCCACCTGCGCACATGTCAGGCACCGCCTTAGTCACCTAGTCTGGGGAAGAGGGGCCCTTCCCGCCGCGCCGGCTCCTTAAGCGTGCGGTGCGCATGCGCGCGCTCTCTCTTTCCGGTGGCGATCATGGCGGGCAAAGAGTGAGTGCGGCCCGTTCTTCGGCACAATCCGCTGGGATCGGGGCCGGCGGGTCCCCCCTCCCTCGGTCCCGCCGCTGGAGCGCGCCCAGCAGGCCCCTGCCGCCGTGCGGCCGCCCGCATTAGCCGCCCCGGGGGCGGGCTCTGTGCTGCCTGGGGCTCCATAGGAAAGGCCCCGGGTCTCCGCGCGGCTTAGGGCTTGAGGGCGGGCTGGGTCGGGGGCATGAGCCGGGAGCGGTGCTGTGGTTCAGGCCGTACGAGCCGGGGGAGCGGGGTGCTGACTTGGAGCCTGCCCTGGGCCCCGAGCGCAAGGGACCGGCCCCTTGTGGCCTTACCTCGCTGCGCCTGCGAGCAGGCAGCGGTTGTTGACGCTTGTGTGGAGAGATCCGGGCCCGTAGCTCCGCAGGCAACATGGAGGAGCCAGGCACTGTTAGTGCCTGGACCTGCACGGTTTCTTGGAGATGCAGGTTGTAGCTGTGTTGGTCTAAGGACGCGGGCAGGTGAGGTTCCTTGGTCTAATAAAAGGTCCAGGACTTACCCGGATTGTCTGCTGGTTTGTTGGAGATGCTTTCAGACCAAGCCTCAGAGCAAAGTCAACTACATACGGTACCTGAGGACAGCACTTGACCTGAAACCTCTTTCAGCCTGAAGATGCTTTATCGGATGTAATTCAGGGGTTCTCAACCTTCTGTGTACCAGGACCCTTTTGTCAACATCAGTGGCCAGTCCCAGTCCAGTGCCCCTCTCACTCCTGACCCGCTGTCCTCAGGCCCCAACCCCTCAGCGTATGGGCCCCAAGCAGATCCTTGTAGGCTTGGACTCTGCCAGCCTGCAAGGGAAAAGCCACAGTTTCCCACATTTTTCTCCTCTAAAGGAGAGTCCATTTTTAAAGTTTGTTCATGAGCCTTTCATATATTGTTGCGATCCACTTTTGAGTTGCAACCCACAGATTGAGAAACACTGATTTAATTGGTTTTCAGGTTACATAGCGTCATGGCAGACCACTGCTGTGCTGTTTTAAAGCAAGTTATTGGCATATAGCTAGGCTTAAATGTAAGATGTTTAATAGAGACTCCTGTTTCCTCTTTGTAAATATGAGGCTTGCTTGTTAAGTGGAACAAACCAATTCTCAAACAGTGTCTTCAAGTTTGGAGTTAAATTCTGGCACTAAAATGTAGCTTCTATACACAGTAAGTGTGTGGTTACATAAAGCAATATAGGCTTCTCCATCTTTGTGAAAGATGCTCTATGTTGTTGTTATAATGCTAAGAAGAGTTCAGGCTAGGTACAAGCTAGCAATGATAGAGAGCATGGGGAAAGGAAGCAAAACATAATTTCTGTGTAATCCAAATCTGCATTTATTTGATCAGGTGGTGTATGTATAAGGTAATAGCCTGGTTTTTATTTTTGTTTTTTAATCGTACAGAGCAAAGAACGTGCCATCGGTCCCCGAAAGCCTTTTGAAAAAGCGAAAGGCTTTTGCAGATATAAAGGCTAAGCGCCTGAAGAGGCTCTTGGTTCAAAAAAAGGTAAACAGTTACAAGTATGCTTTAATAAAATATTTTGCTGTGCATTAAAGCCAGTTCTTGAAGTGAGGAACTGTACAAGTCTAATATTTTTGTTAAATACTTTCTTACTGGTAAAATTCTCTGACATGAATAATGATTAAATAAACATTCAACCTGTTGTTTTTCAGTCAGAGTTCTGATTCTCTTA